TGTCTGGTGGACCACTCTTAACTATGAGGTCAACCTGTGGTGCACCAATCGTTTTTATTCTGCAATTGGCATAAATGGCCAATTATGAGACACATCTTGGATTTCTCAAACTATCATATTGTACGCTTATAAATTGACCCTAAGACTCCGAAATTCATTAGCTGCCTCAGAACCCATGTTAATGTGTGCCACATAGATTTCAACCCAAGATGTCATAGCTATAGCCATTAAAAGGTTAGCTTTACATATATTAAAATAAACTATCCATAATAAATAACCAAGCCTGATCAGTAATAAGAAAATTGACACAGACCATTTATTCTAGCTAATTTATTTTCACTACTCCTTATGTAAGACCTAATTCCTAGGTTCTGATACCACTCTATCACGGCCCAATTTTTTTTAATAAAAATAATCAGGCGAGACTAAGAAATGAACCATCTATCACACATAATTACCTTTCTTGTATTATTATTAAACCATAAGGTTACATTCCTGAACATAACATGATCAAAACATGGTCGGATAGACATTCAGATATAACATAAAGAGAAATAATAGTAATAGCTTCTATCTGCAGTCTACCCAGCTGACTCTCCTGGATTCCTTCCTACTTCTGAAAAATGTTAAACAGAGATGAGCTCACTAGCCTAGTAGGATAACTTTTATCAATGCCTATCAAGGTTTTAAAATAATATATAAATATAATCAAATAAAAAATAAGTGCAACAATAGATCAAATTAAAATCATAGGAATGCAACACATATTAATAATAACAATTCATCAATTTTATGGTCTACGCATGAACCGTCTCTGAAAAAAACTTTGTGGTCTTGCACCCTAGGGAACCCAATGCCCTTCTTACTTTTTTAGAAACACCAATACCGGGAAATCTGTGGTGCCACACATGCTACCAACGACAATTGATATTACTAACCAATGAATCCAAGGGCTAGTAGGAATTCTATGGATCCTTGCAAGGACCACGCGTCTACTAACCCTCTACCATCAATAGTGTGCATCCAAGGTAATTTCATCAAAAATCATAAAGCAGAATCACATCGTATTTATATCCAACAGCAAGTAGAAATTCAAACATTAAATAAATATATCATAATAAAATCAAAAATATTTTATATGCAACTTGGTTCCACAAGATAGTTAGGGTTTCAATCCAAATATATTGCATATGCGGGAACTATGATTTAATTTTTAAAAACCCAAATCCAACCTCATGGATAATGCAAACTAATATTAAAGCATTATATAATTAACATAGGTTTGATATGGAACCCCCATATATGCATCAATGACAGTAAAAGATAAAAGAAACTCTACCTTCAGCATTATATTGACTCGATACTGTATACTATGGTAAAATAAACAAAGTAACATTTTAGGATAAAACTACGTATGGTTAATTGCACAGGAGGTCTCCAAAATATAGAGTTTGTCTCATTTCAGTACCCAATGTTTCAATTGCATCATTTTGATCCCCAAAGTATTAAATATGTTTCTATATGGTCCCTTAAGCAGACAGCGTCCAAATTGTTAATGATTTTTTATCATAAACTTGTCACGTAATACTTAAATATGGGCAAAAGAATAATTTGGATAACTCTTGACCAAATTTCTACTCAAATTTTGTTAAATAGTTACCTAAATTATACATTTTTGATCATGAGCTATTCAAATTTTGGTCAAAAATTACTCATATTACACATTTTTTTGTCAAGAGCTATCTAATTTTTGTTTAAGAGCTGTTAAAATTATTTTTGTGCCTATATTTAGGTATTATGTGACAAGTTTATGATAAAAAAATATTTACAATCTAGACGCTATCTGCTTGAGGGACCATATAGAAACTTATTCAATACTTCAGGGACCAAAATGATGCAATTGAAACATTTGGGACCAAAATGAGATAAACCCCATCTTTTGGGGACCTCTAATGCAATTAACCAAACTATGTAATAATGGCTTAGTTAAATTAAAAATAATTTTTGGAGTAATTAACGAAAAATAATGGTGCCCGAATTTAATCTGAAAATAATTAACGAGGATCAAATTCAGGTGATTTGAACCTATAAAATTGTTGAATCATGACCCAAAAACTTCATCTAAATTTTTGATCACAAGATCGAATTCTTAGGTAGACAAAATTTTTACTCTTTTTTTCTCTCTCTTTCTCTCTCTCTCTCTTCCTTCCTATTTCTCTCTTTATTCCTTTCTCCCTCCTTTTTTTCCCCTTTTTTGTGTTGTCCGAATGGCCACTGGCCAAAGTCCCACCCCCAATGTTACTTGTATAGGCCTAGATCACATGGACAAATGTCCATGCACTTGTCCATTTTTTTTAATATATCTAAACCACCTGTCACTCATACACCCAATAATGTTCCCACCCCATTTAACACATGTTTCATTTTATATATATATATATCATTTTACCAATTTACTATATCATTTGGATATTACGTCTTTTTATTTATTTATTATTTCAACATGAAATATGACCTCTATTGTAGTCATTCGTCTCATTTCAACGTAAGGAATTCATATTTGAGGTCCTTTCGTAAATTAGAAATTTCTAAAAATAACCCTCCATTATATAGAATCATAATTAATGACCTAATTAGCATGTTAGTGACTAATTTTTATTTGGTTTGTCACAAGTGCAAATAGCATCTCCATTGTGAGACTCAATCATGCATTGCATACATATTAGCATAATTGTGTGGACTAATTACGATTATGTGAAATTATTTATTAGAATTTTGTGTATGAAAATATTATTGGGTTGATTTTGAAATCCCTTAAGAATTTGGGGAGAGACAAGCATAATTATTAGGTTTGAATGAAACATCTCTACATGAGTTTGCATATGAAAAAGGGTGAGTCATGTGGGTTGCTAAGTGGCTGTGTATGTGTGTGCGCGCACGCCAAGTGTGAGTGTGTGTGTTTTAAAGTGTAGAAGTGTGTGTGTGTAATTCAAAGTG